CTCCACAGGGAGTCCATCTTCCCAGACACGTCTGAGGGCCTCTGCTGTCTTGTCTCCCGACACGACACAAGAAGATGACCTCTGGATCATGGCAACGGATTTCGCTCCATGGAAGCACAGGTCTTGACAAATGTCGATTCCCGAATTACCTGCGCCGACAACGACCACCCGTTTCCCTGCGTACAACGCACCTCCTTGGTAATGGGCCGCATGCAAAGTGGTACCGGTGAACGACTGCTGGTCTTTTAGCTGTGGCAAGATCGGATCGCCGAATGTGCCTGTGGCCATCACAATATGGGCTGGATGGATTGTTATACGTTGGCCTCCCCGGTTGATATTGACTTCCCATTTCCTTCGACCGTCGTGGTACCTCGGCCGACCATCTATGTGCGAGTTGGTCCAGATAACAAGATCTTGCGTTGCCGCGTATGCTTCAAGCCACTCTGCTACCTTATCCCGTGGCGTAAACAGAGGCCAATTATGAGGATACGGCTGGTACAGCACTGACTGTGGTAAGTCGCCACTCGCTGCTCAGTCAATCTCGTCACTCACTTTGATGATGATTGCGAATAGTGTGCAGAGTCAAAGTAGGATAACGCTTCCGCCAGTTGTCGCCGACTCTCTCGTTCTTCTCGATCACGATGGAGGGAATGTTCATTTGCTTGAAACGCGCTGCGATCTGCAAGCCCGTCTGGCCGCATCCCACTGTGATGGATTTCCGTGAGCTCATAGCCCGAACAAGTAAAAGGCCCCTCACTCACCGATGAGTACATACGGATTCGCCTCAATGGCCGCCTTCCTACCTCGAGACACGTCGCTCCACGCAAGAGTGTGGTCTCCGTATATCCCAAGCTCGTATCCACTTTCCTCGTGGCCCCGCAGGTCCATCGCCATCATACATACACTCAGCGCCTTCCAAACTCCCGACGGACCTCGCACAAGACGTGCGTATCCTCGCCCGTGCACTACGGCAGTCTCATAGCTGAAGACGGCCTCCACCCCACCTGTCTCGGGAATATGCTTGGGAGCATACAGAGGGTCTTCTGCCAAGGCGAAATCGAAGATCTGTCCTGGCTTGAGCAGCTGAGAAAGGAAACGCACAATTTTGTCTTTTCCTTCGAGCGCACGGTAGTCCCAGGTCAAAGTCAGAACGTCCCGATACCAGCCGTCGGGCAGTATAGTGTTGGATATCGCTTGGACGTCGCCGGCAGTGACGGCCCCAGCATAATCTGCCAACCAAGCTGCGGCGACCTCCTTCGCCGTGAAGCTTTCCTGCTGGGCCTCCATGCGAGAAAGAGGGAGAGAGAGAGGTTGATAGGGATTTAGTCGTTGCGATCCTCGTCAGGGCATCAACTTATCACCGGTCCAGGCGATTGTGGCTTTGACGTCCCCGGCGGCGTGCCTTTCAGAATACGCACCATATATAGGTGTCTTGTGCTCTCGTTGGTTGCGTATGGGAATTGGTGGTGTTAAAGCTCTAGAAAAGATGACACCCTTCCTCGTGAGTCACACGTTATCGCTGCGGAGGTTTTGCGTACGACTGAATACACTTCGAACAGTCCATGGAATAATCTGTACAATGGACGAAATGAGGTGCGTAAGATGTGATGTCCTTGGGATCTGCAAATGTCTGATTCTGTCAATAGATGCTGCATACTCGGACGATAGACTGAGGCTCCGAATTGCGCGCTTACAGACAGGCCAAATTCTCTAGACCTCACTGGCGGGGCAGGCCAATTTGTCTCTCCTCGAACCATTGCCAGAAGCCTTTGACAGACCCGAAGAATGTTTTCATCATGAAACATGGCAAAAAACGACGCACTGCTTCTGGACAGTAAGACAATGGTCGAATCGCCAAACATGTTTCTCTATCGCCGGACAGCGGCTCTGTTGATCTGCTATTCGAGTACGAATCGTCAGCATTACGCTTCGCCCTTTACCAACTCGTTTTGACAGCGAACTACAGGAGGGTGGATCGCGTCGGCTTCTCAGCAAAGACACTGGATCTATTTTGGGACAGGGTCAGAGCAGCAGATGTCCCGTGGAGATGACGCAGTGGATGGCGGAGGGATATTGCACTACTGTAGTGTGGATGCAGCTTGGAATGTCGAACCGGATCTCTCCTCCTTTGTCCTTTGCGTTTCGCTGTATCGCAGTCAGCTTGTGCAAGACTTTCGAGTCATATGTACATATGAATGTTACGATTCAAGATCAGAACATCTGTTCGCTGAAATAGTCTCTTGTTACCCGTCCGCAATGATGACATTGCGGCATAAGTACGTCTCCTGCTAGAACTATCATCACCTCCATCTACGCGACGATCACCTCCGGTCCGTGCAGCGTGACTATATAAGGGCGTAGAGGTGGCATGACTGGTTTGATCTCTCCCTTTCACAGCTTGGCTCCCAACGACACGTCGACGCGACTGCAATGTCTAGTCTCTCGCCTTCCCTCTATCGCATACCGTTCGTGGCGACAAGCCTCATTGCGAATATAGTCGCTTTGACACCTCCGAACCAAGATGCAGATCCCGAGGAAAGGAAACGATACCAAGATACCAAGCGGAAAAAACTAGAGCCGTTGACAGCCATCCAGTGGTGGATTTTACCAACACTATTCGTGAGTCTTGTACGACCTGATTCGCGTCGTGCTTGTACCAACTGTTACGTTTTCTAGGGATATCTGTACTTCCTTCATCTCACGGAGATATACATCATTCTGGCAGGGGCATATCCTGCGCTAAGACTGCCTTTCATCCTCAACATCCTCCTCCCATCTCGTACCGCCATTTCATCAGTGTCCGACCGTTTCCATGTCTCTCCGGCCTTGATCGTCGGCACCTCTCTCAGTTTCTTTGCCTGTCAGCTCCGTCTGGCATGCTTCCGAACTATGGGACGCCAGTTCACATTCGAGCTGGCGATCAAGAAAGGCCACAAGCTCATTACGAGTGGACCGTACTCCGTCGTTCGCCACCCAGCCTATCTTGGCAGCGTATGCCAGTACACTGGCTTGCTCATCAACACTCTCGGGACTGGTTCGTGGTTCGAAGCTGCGGGGATGTGGTCTACGGTGTTCGGATGCGTTGTGGGAGGGCTTTGGGTCGCAATCGTGCTGTTCACCATGACTTCGTTAGTGAAGAGGGTCCCGAAGGAGGATAAGGTGTTGAAAGAGGAGTTTGGAAAGGAATGGATTGATTGGTCGACGAAGACACGCTATAAGCTCATTCCTGGGGTATATTGAATCACGGTCATTCTACCTTTGCCAATACCGACACCAGAAAGGTCGAACCTGTGATGTAGCTGTATCCACGTCTGTGATGCCCAATGCATTGTATAAGCTACCGTCTATCTAGCTTCGAATAGGCGGCCTCTTTGGTGCTCAGGTTACCACATGAATGGGATGACGGCGTACGGTGTCTTTTTCGACCAACTCGACCACTCCTTCAACATTAGATCCTCCTTTGGGATTCTAGCCAATAACGTCCAGCCAGCCCAAAAACGCAAGGAAGATCCACGCGTACCCGAACGCCTGGCCTTGCCACGTATGCCACATCCCGTACTCCATCCACCACGTCCCCGGACTGAAGAGTTGCGTGTAGACCATGCTAGGCATGACAAAAAGCGTCCCGAGGTAGGAAGGATTAGATATATGGTCAGCCATTTTGAGTCAGACAATAGAACGTCACGTACCAGGATCACTTCACCATATGTAGGGGATCATCGCGTACGGAGTCCGCTCTGACCAGTTCACCCACTGCTCCCGGAATTGCATTTTGAGAATCTTATCCTCTTTCGGTACCCTTGATACCAACACCCAGCCGACCCAAACAGCAAGGGAGACCCAAAAACCGCCAAACGCCTGACCCTGCAGTGTGTCCCACATCCTGCACTCCGTCCACCAGGTCCCTGGACTGAAAAACTGGGCGACGACCATGCTGGGCATGACGACGAACATCCCGAGGTAGGCCGGATGTCGTACGAAAGAGTACGGGCCGTCCGTGATGAGCTGATGATCCTTCTTGAAAGCTAGTTCGAAGGTGAAGTGACGGCCGAGAGTGCGGTAGCACACCATGCGGAGGAGGGTGCCTGCATAGAGGCAAGAGGAGCTCAAGATGAACAGTGGCGACAGGTAGAAGGAAGAGTCAGAGGGTGTGTGTGCGGTTTTTGACAAGAGGACGGCGCGATGCAGGAGAGGTATCTGTAAAGATGGGTAGACGGTGGAGATGATCATGTAGACCTCAGAAATACAGAACAGTGTATTTCCCACCTGCGGGTTATGGATGAAGTGAGCGAAGAATGCCTCAAATGACAACGGGTTCAGAACATACGAAAACTATGGGGGTCGTTATCCATGTGATGTAAGACAGAACATCGCGTGTCTCTATCTGAGCGCTGTATTGTTGCCTCTCTGTAGCATCGGCGCGTGGAACGGGAGGGTTGTTCGATATGTAGACTGCGATAGCGTTTGCGATGCTAAATGGGATGTTAAGCAGCGCGGTCGACATCTTGAGGCTATACAGAGTTTGGGGCGACCACCGAGGAGACGGGAAACCTATGAACAAAGTCCACGATTGCTGGCCCTGCAATTGGTCTCGTGCTGCCTCCACGAGCAAAGCCACTCAGACACTGTTCGGAGCCTGAGAAGACAATCAGTTCGGATCTGAAGCATCACAGTCACGGCGGTTGATGACAGGAATGGAACTCACTTTGCCCTTCCATGGCAAAACATGAGGACACGACTCCGATTTGCGACGGATCCGCGGCTATATTGACAGAAGTAGCCTTCTTGCACTGACTTGCAGTACTGTTGCTACCAATTAGTATGAGGGGGGCCTCCAAATGCTGGTAAGGCGACTCTGTTCGAGTGAGAACCGACGTACCGTGAATTCAACATTCACATTGTACTGTGCACTGGAAACAGTTCCACCGGTGCCCTGCCAGTTTGGGTTGACCCAGCGACAACTATCCCGTCATGATAGCAAGTATGGTCCATTCAAAAAGGCATTAATGGGGTAGTGGTAACCTGGGTCGTTGCCATGACATTCGCTTTCGGATTTCGACCCGCCGGGGGTTCGATTCCCTCTTAATGCACTCCATAGTCGTGATGTAATGTTTTACACGAGGTCCAAGTCGGGGTCAAGACGCAAGCCTATGCGCTCGTGTTTCTGAGAAACTGTGAAGCTTTCGAGGATTGGGCGGTATCTTGCTCGGATTTTTTCGTTGCATGGTGAAGATAAGCTGAGACTAATGGAAATCGAGGGAGCTGAGAGCAGTAACTTGGCAAGGGATCCTCAATCGGCGAATGAAATCGGGAAATGCGTACCGAAGAGCAGAGCGCAACCTGCGGGCTACATTCAGAGGGAGCCACCTTACGCGGCGAGCTGAGCGGTCTGGTCGTCGTCTTCGTCTGAAAGATTCAATGAGCTGTAATTTGAACTTGACGTTTCAACAGTGTGTCTCCTTCTTCCATATCGAACAAGAGATATAAGACGTGAGTGCAATCAGAATTATGTCAAGTCAGATATCGCACTATGTCAGAGGCATGCAGTGGGTGGTCGAAGAAGAAGGCAAAAAATTTAAGGCGAAGAGTTCAATATCGTCGCTTGGCCAGTCGGCACATCGGCACCGTGATCTCGATCGACTGACCCTGAATCGCAGATCGGATCGTCGGTATAACGCGCCCATGCAGCTTTACACCAAATTTCAACTTCAAAGCCTTCCACCCGCAACAATCTCAGTTTTGCCTTGCGTTCTTCTCACCGTTGCTATGCTCTGTACGCTTATGCGGAATTATACGGCGATGGTTCATGAGTCACAAGCTTCAGAACGACCGTAGCTGTGAAAAGCGGCGAACTAACGCTGTCACTGCGGTACGTCGCATCACCACACGCAGTCCACGCAACTGTGCGCCTCTGGCTTCACTCTGACTCTCTCCCGCTGACGTTTCTGACGCCACCAGCACCTTTCAGAGAAACTCGCAAGCGGTGATTCAGCTGCTACTTACACGTTCAATGATGTCAGATAGTACTGCTACCGTTGGCACGTCTTACACGGCAGCGACTGTGAGTCAGAATATATGTTCATTAATACAAAGCCAAGTACTGATGTTTATTCAACGACAACGAAATTGCAGCCTAATGACATTCACCGATATATCTTTGCTGCATTGGCCAACAGTGACCATACTCAGCTCCTCCCACTGGCAACCAAAAAAGACGCACAGATCATCATGAACGAAATATGGAAGGTACGAGCTCTTTTTGAGCTCTTTTAAACTCTGTTTTCCGAGTCAGTACCGGGCTCATTTGTGGATTCAGGATTTGGATTCTCACGAGCTCCCAGAGAGTATCAGCAGCATGCCGTTCCAGATATCCTACAGAGGGCGGCTGAGGAGGCTCTCTCTGAAAATAGCTGTCACATTCAACATCCTGCCCGGGACTCTGAGGTTGAAGGGCGTACAATGCGGCTCTCGTGAGTATCACTTGGCAGGCGCCTTTGCAGATGTCTTCATGGGAACCTATGGAGAGCTCAAAGTCGCTCTGAAACGAGTCCGTGTCTACATCATGACTGAAGACGAATTGAAGGATGAACTGGAAAAGGTAATTATCTGCTTACAGAGGGTCACTGTGAGCCGAAGTAGCTTACGACTTACACCCAGGCCTTTTACCGGGAGTCGATTCTGTGGAAAAACCTTACTCACGAGCATGTTCTTCCGTTCCTAGGCATCTCTGACGATGCCATACCGAGCTCGTTGTGCATCGTCTCCCCTTGGATGAGCAACGGTAGCTTGCGTAGCTATCTGTCCAACGAAGTGCGTCAAGGGCTATTAGGCGGCGATGAATTCTGCCGAGCTGTGAACAAATGGGTACATAGTTGTTCTTTGTATGTCTTCTTCCAACGGAAACCGCTGATAAACCACTGCAGCTGCACCAGACTGCTCTCGGACTGGAATATTTGCACGGCGAAGGCGTCGTCCACGGTGATTTGCACGCTGGCAACATCCTCGTGGACGAGACTGGCACCGCCCGTCTCACTGATTTCGGCCTGTCTCTTCTCGCTGATGGCGGGGCGTACAACTATGGTTCACACCATGGAGGTGGAGCTATACGGTGGTCTGCGCCGGAACTGTTCGCACCAGAAGAGTTTGGTCTGGATTCAAGCCGACCCACGGTCCACAGCGACGTCTACTCATTTGGCTGCATATGCGTTGAGGTCAGGATTTTCGTGGACTCCTTTTCTTCGACTCACTGACGTGTACTGCAGCTGTATACATTGAAGCCGCTCTATCCAGAGCTCGCAGACATGCAAGTTCCTCTACGAGTTGTTCACGGCGAGAGACCGTCGCGCCCGTCAGCTCCAGGCGGAGAGCTCATGGGCAGCGCCTTGTGGACGGTGGCACAAGCATGCTGGGCACCAACCCCCAACATCCGACCTACCACACACGATATCACGTCCTTACTTTCTACCATCGTCCAATCATCCTCTCAGTCTGCTTCAACTTCCATCTTCCAACTTGCGATGATTCATTGCATTGCGCAAGCCCATTTAAAACACCTTCCACCGGTAAGCTTGTGCTCTTTCTGCGCATGCGCATCGCTGTGAACAGCTGCTCACGTTTGGCGTAGGACGAGTTTCAGGCCAACTGGTTACGCACTGCGCTCGTGCATACGGATGCGTTCCATCGTAATGGAGCGTTCGAGACCGCTCATTGGGTGCTTGCTGCTGGTAAAAACGTCCCAGATGGCGCTTTCGTCAGCAGTAGGACACGTCGTGGCGAGCCAGTGTACGTCATTCGTGCACCAATAGTGAGTTTCTGCCATGCGTCTTCAATACTCGCCCGAGGCTTACAGTAGTTCTTTTGTCGGTACAGATAACGACACTTCGTAAGTCACTTCATATTGTCTGTTGACGCCGTTCATTGACACCATTTGGTCATTCGTACAGAAATCGGACAAGCCATCTCCTCCCTACCCAAAGGTGGCGTTGTGGGCTTCGCTCTGAAATGCATCGACGTAAGCTCCGCTCGCAACCTTCCATCCGATTAATCTGTCTCACTTCCTTCCGTCAGGTCGAGATCTACGAAGTCCTCATTGTCTCCTCTCAGCATGTCCAATGGGTACCCGCACACGGGAAGTTCGTCCTTCCTCAAGGCATCCGTCCCGTTGAAGCCGGACACGACTTCGACGACCCCTTGTACATTGCGCAGGCGTGGATCGACGGCGAGTGGAGGTCGGGCAAGGTCAACGTTGCTTGGGACCGTGAGTATTGTGGTTTTGTGCCAGCGGCGTGGCTTACGACTCATTACTTGCTTCTCTTGCTTGGACAGATGCGCATGTGATGTTTGGAACCGAAGAATGCGTTGTATCGGTAGGTGCCTGCATGTGTCTGAGATTCTGAGGAGGTCTTATCGAGAACCTTCATGTGTGGAACAGGATTACCGCGTACTGTGTTATTACTCATGAGATCATAGCAAGATAACGCAATCGTGGTCCGAGTGCGAAGCAACTTGTATTGAGATAATCGAGGGCGATGCAATGAAGCAAGATGACGAAGATGATCTACGCAGGAGTAGGTATAAGCTAATTGTACATAAACCAAAGGAAAACAGAAGAGGAGATTGAGAGTGTGAAGCGTGATGAGAAGAGGTATTACGGACGGGATGAGGGGGTATCGTATGCACAGATTGACCAGACGTCGGAACGCAAGAAACATGTCGGGGAGAAAAGCAAGCGAGGATGACAGAGATGATGAGAATAATAGATAATCCTGGTCCAAGAAAAGCCAATGCGGAGAGAGTGAATTGCGAGAGCGAAGGAAGGCATGCATAGGAGAAGGGTGTTGAGTTGACTCGTAGATGGGTGCAGATGCGTGGGTATGATGTACAAATTAGCCTCCGTACAATGGTACATCGTACAACGGAGAGATGTAAAGGTACACCGGGGCAGATGTCATGCACAGGTGTACATGAAGATGAAGGAGACGACGGAGGTGCCGGGGTATAAGATAAGAAGAGGCATGTTGTGGATTGCGTGAGCATTGCACACGTGGAGGATGCAAGGACGTTGCACCAATCCGCGGTCAGATAGTGAGATTGTCAGACGACGAACGTGATAGCGTTTGCTATCTCGCTGCCGCGATACTTGAGGATGTCGCAAGGGGCTTGAGGGGAGGTCGTTTGGTAAAGCAGACACGCGGACCCAACGCGTCGCGCGGCAGAATCTCGGAGGGGTGCTTCGAGCGTGGAGGCAGAGCGCAAGTAGGCATGACTCTGTAAAGACATAACCAAGTCAGACATACCACGCCTGGTAAAGCAAGTCACTCACCCACTTTTTCGTTAGGTAGCTATACGAATTGGGAGACAGTGTCAAGCAAGACTTTCGGCCTGAGCAACACTTTCTTCGTCAACGCCGCCGCTTGCGAGTTCTCGCCATCCAAAGTCTCATCGTGATGATGGGCACCCGCACCATTGGTATGTCCGTTGGTAATCCTCGCATGTCCGTTCGCCGACCCGTGCCCATTCATCCCGTAGTGCGCTTTGGCGGACCCATTCGTATGCTCGTTCGGACGAGGTTCGTCGAACGAATTCCTCTCCGAGCTGGCACCCTTCTGGACCAGCATCAACCCGAACTCAATCGTGCACATCACCCCCATGCCTTGTGCATTGCCCGTACCAGCCCGCTCATAAACGTCCTCCATCCACTCCCCGTCAAACGGCGCGCTCCTCTGGCCTTCTCCAGGTCCAGCAGGCTTGACCCACATGACCTCGAATCCGGCACTCATCACGCCCTCCCTGATTACCTCCGCAAGCCGTTCTGCACGTTCGGATATCCGCAGAAGATGTGCGCCCCAGCGTGCCAAGAGTGCTTCGCGCGGGAGGGAGGTGAAATTGCACAGCGCGAGGATAGAGAGGAGGCCGCGTGCGTTGTGGTCGCTGAGAGTTTGGAAGGGCGAGGGCGGGGGCTTCTGGGGGTTGGATGAGGATGCGAGGAGTTCGCGCGTGTGTGCGTAAGTGAGAGCGCGCCACCGAGAAGTCGTTGGCTGGGGTTCTGTGCCGGATTCTGCCATCAGCAACGTTACGCAAAGAATAAAGG